TACAAAATTTATAGTCAATTCGCCACCTGAGGGAGCGGAAGTTGCTTCCTCTTCGACAGAGCCCCTCCATCCAGCAAATTGGTAACCGCAAAAAATCAACACGAGCGACGACAAGACCTTACTACTCCTTCGTCCCTAATTCACTCGGATCCAGATACGGAGGATGATCATCGCTCTTCGCCAGCTCCGTAGACGACATCTTCCGTGGAAAGTAGACGGATTGAGTCTGAAGTACGGAGTAATGTGCAACAAAGTCTGTTTCCTAGTAACGATGACAGAAGCAAACTCCCCGCAACCAAGACGGCTACACGTTTCTACGAACGAGAAAGTCCAAGCACAAATTATTAGCTCACGGCAATTAATATCATTTATTCACTTTGCTTCAATCCTCCCATATCTGCATTTCCATTTTTCCTGCACCTCCGTCTCCGCCGCAAACAAATCCAGAGGGGCACAACTCAATCGGCTCAACTCGCCAGCCTCCTTTCCCACCTACTCATCATGCACGCCGCACACAGGGATGCAAAGGAGAAAATAAAGAGAAACGGAGAAGAAAGGGGGAAAAGGCCATTAGGGGTTCAAGAATAACTAATATTACATTTAAAGAGCAGCATTTCTCAAGCTCATGTCATGTAATTTTTGGGAACCCTTCCCATAACCAACGCCCATGCCGGGAAAACATTTGCAGACGGCTCAGCGAGATCAAATCTAGCCCCAGATGCAAAAAATACATAAATGGAGCAGAGCCGAAAAAGGAAGAGTTGCGAAAAATAAGTAGTATAAGCTGGAAACAAAACTCATACACAAAAACAGCGCTGTGCCTGTATCTCGGCTCGACGCCGTTTCCCCAGTATTTAGGGGACAAGAAAGGTAAAAACAGCAACAAAGCCCGCTTTGGCCGTAGGAAACCATTTCTGATCCGCAAAAGGGATTGAAATCAAGTTGAAACAAGGCGTAAGGCCTTAAAAAAGGAATCGCGCTTCCGATGCATTCCCCAAAGTCCAAATGGTAAATTGCCGGGTCCACATGAAACGTCATATTTGCACCAAGTATAATCTACCGAGTTCAAACGGCTCAAGAGGAATAAAGTAAATCAAAGAAATTCGTCAATGCTTCTCATGATAATCGGTTCCACTCTTCTTTGGGGTGATCTGGGATCGTTCATACTAGGACGGCGTTGAAGAGTAGGTGATTGCAAGTTGGTAGGCTTTTGCAATGCCAGGTCAACAGCGTTGTTGCGCGGAAATGGGCGCTGCGATGAATTCAGTGGCTTTTGGAGAAAGATGATGGGCTCGGAGGTACATCTTGCATCACAAGGTCCATCTGTAGGGCTGGCCGCACGGAAGGGCGCTGGGAGGCCGCAAAGGACTCGTGACGAGGGGAGTTGCGCAGCGAGTGAATCGTGTGAAATTTCTCCCGTAGGGCAGCGGGACGTGGTGCTAGGTCTCTCCGTACTCGGT